TGTTTGTTGGCAGTAATTTTGGTAAAAGCACTACTTTGGTAATGTTTTTCTTAATGTCTTGACATTTGAAGTAAAATATCTCAACTGTTTTTGAATGATGTCAAAGCAGATGTCTTAACATCTGTCTTCTGATCTGAACGTGTTTTTCAGATCTTCTGTTCCTGTTTTTAAGCGCGCCTTATTCAGGTTTTGTGGTTTATAACTTGCGAAAAATATAGAGGAATATTTTTCGATCTGTCTTATCTTGACCTACTTTCATGGAGATATTCAAGGGATTCAATATTGAAATATTTATTTTTCAGCCCAAGTCCATAAAGAAGTTGTTGCGCCTTTATAAGGACTTGCATCCTTATTCGTACAACTGCAACAATTGAAAAAAAATATATTCTTTGTGTTTAAAAGTCTGAAACTTTTAATTGTAATACACTCTAGTATTGTTTCAATACTTGAGTTGTAATTTGTTAGTTGAGTTATAAATTATGGATCATTGATAAGCTTTTAAGTATTGAATGATTAAGGTTTTTCAAACTAAATAATTCTGTTGTTTTTCACTGTTAGTGATTTAAGGAATTTGAGGAGGACCCCATACCTAGGTCTGTCTTAGGTAGAAGTATAGCACGGGTAGTGATTAAGTGATTAGATCGTAAACTGGTTGTTTACTGAGGGTCTATGAATTGATACTATTTAGTAGACTTGTCCCTGACTTGGTAGTCCCCAGAATAGGTGTTGTTGTACACCGGACTGGATTAACAATCCCTTGTGTTTTTACTGCTTTTATATTGTTGCAATTTATATTGTCCTCAGATATTTGTGTCGTGACATCTCCTTCGACATCACATATCAGATATTAGAATTTCAACAATCTTAGCCTCAATCCTACCTATGTACCGACATGTCATCTTGATAGTAATTCTTGTCCAATCCTAATTCTAATTTCTTTTTTTTTCTTCCATTTATTTTATAAATTTCTATGTTTAAAAAATAACTTACTTATTTAAATAAAAATAAAACCATAATAGATTTTCTAATAACCTAAAAATAATACAATACTATAAAATACTTTTTGTATTATTGTTTCACATTAAAAAATTAATAGTATAATTGTAAACATAATCTAAATCGCCTACAAGATAATTTTATATGCAAATAAAAAACTAAATATCAACTATTATAAAAATGTGAATTTATTTCTAATATATCCATGCGATGCACGGGTAAGCGATCTAGTAGACTTTAAAAAATTACTTTTAAGTCTGTGAAATAAACGAGTTGAACCTAACGAGTTGAGTCGAGATGTTCGTGAACTTCTAACAAATCGAGTTTGAGCTGGAAAAAATTTTGTGATGAACTCGAACTCGAACTCGGTCAATTCTTAACAAATCGAGTTTGAGCTGAAAAAAAGTTTGTGATGAACTCGAACTCGAACTCAAACTCGACTAATTCTTAACGGGTTAAACTAAGATGAGACGAGTTCGACTCAACTCGACTTGACTCATTTCCAGCCTTAATGATGAGATATAATAGAATGTTGTATTTGACTTTTTATATATATATATATATATATATATATATATATATATATATATATATATATATATATATATATATATATATATATATATATATATATATATATATATATATATATATATATATATATATATATATATATATGAAAAATAATATTTTTAAAATTAAACATATCTCCAAAATATTCGACGGCCCTATTGATGATGAGGATTTAGAATGCAGAGATTCATTCCTAGCAATTGTGGAGATTTTCTTGCGTTTATTCACTATTGGTTTCTTTGTGACAGCTCTTGTCATTATGCTTAAGAATTCCGAGGAAAATGAGTATGGTTCTGTTAATCAAGTTTTGTTTTTAATCAAGTGTACTAAATTTATGCTCTAAGTTGTTTTGCTATATTGAAAATCAAAAATTGATTCATAAGCATGATGAGTATATCACTCAATTTTTTTGAGCTAAGGTTTTGGTTCGTTAAGAGAGTTACTTTGGTTTTGCATTGTTGACCGATAAAAGTCACACTGGTCTTTTTTTTATTTATTTAAACTCACTAGTCTTTGGTTGAACAATGTACAGTACTTTAATTAAAATAGTACTCTTAGTCAAATTCATAAATAGAACGTTAAACTATAAACTAGTTTTAAAGTCAAATTCAACTCGTTTAGATTATAAATTAGTTAAATAATCCCTGCGTGCACTAGTTTTATTTGAATACACTTTTTAATAATTAAAAAATCATAATTTAAACAAATTAAATTCAACAAATAAATAAGTTTTTTTAAAATATTTAATGTTATTGTTTTTAATTTATATAAAACAAATAAAAGATAATTTTGAAATGTGAGAGTTTGTATAAATTTAAATCTTAAATTTTATAAATAATTTAAAAATAATTAATATATTTTTTATTAATTATAAAATGTTAAGTTAAATTAATTGAAATATTATATTCATTATGTTATTAGATATATAAAAACTTTAAGCTTTTTTTAATATAACTTTTTATATTTAATATATTTATTATTTGTTAAAAAATTTAATAATTATTATTTGTATTAAAAAATAGACATTTGTTTTATAATATTTATAAGAGTAGATCACTGACACTTTTAATCATTTATTATTGGACTATAATTTATAAAAAGTAAGAAAATAACCAATGATCATCATATTTGTTATGATTTTTTTCTTAAACATCATTACATATTTATAAATTGAGCAACTCTACATTCCTTTAATTTTCTATTGTGATAGCATATTTGTTGAATGTGTAATTCTTTAAATCAAAGCAGTATTCAATAGAAGTTGTATTAACTCTATTTGATAGAGAGTCGAATATATCAAATAATTGTCAGTGCTAATAGCTGTCGTGTCATATCTCAAATTTGTAATCCTCTCTTATTTCAATTGTCATCCCATTTGCATATATGATTCTTTTGAGTATTCATTTAGGTCATTTATTTGCATCATGCGTTCATTAGTACGGATTCAACTGGCTCATTGCCATTCCCATTTGCATACATGATTCTTTTGAGTATTTATTTAGGTCATTTATTTGCATCATGCATCACTATTAGGTCTAAGGGTTCGCTAGTATGGAATCAACTGGTTAAAATGGTTCTCTCAATGTTCAACTGGTTTTCATAGATTAAGGTCTTACTATGCTCAATATGTGGATTAAGGTCTTTTTCATTATTTAAAACCAAACATTTATATCCAAAGACATGAAGATGAAATAAATTTGATTTTCTACCTTTTAAAAATTCATAAAGAATTTTGTCAATAATTGAACTGGATAATTATCCTATTCAAGACATAACATGTTGTGCTAATAGCATCGACCCAAAAATATTTTAGTCGACCATGATCATTGAGCATTGTTCTTGCCAACTCCGCTAAAATGTGATTTTTCCTCTCAACAACACCATTTTTTTGCAGAGTTCTAGGAGCTGAAAAAGTTATGTTAAATACCAAATTTATCACAATATTCTTCAAAGAGGTGGTTTTCAAATTCACCTCCATGATCGCTTTGAATAGCAACTATCTTTGAGTTCATTTTATTTTGAGCAATCTTGACAAAACGTGTGAAAGCTATGAACGTTTCATCTTTGCTTCTTAAAAAGAAAGTCCAACAAAATCTAGAGTAATCATCTACAATTACTAAACTATAATAATTTCCACCTATGTTTTTAGTCAGCGAGGGATCAAATAAATCCATGTGAAGGAACTCAAGTGGCCTTGATGTAGAAACAAATTTCTTAGATTTAAAAGAGACTCTTGTTTGCTTACTCTTTTGACATGTATCACATAAGTGGTCTTTAGAAATTTTATTTTTGAGACTATTTTATTAAATAAGTCAAAGTTGACATGAGCTAAATGTCTATGCCATAGCCAAGAGTCTTCACTCAAGGTAACAAGACATTGAGAATTATTCAAAGAAATCTCATTTAAGTCAAGCATATGAATGTTACTAATCCTCAAACCCTTAAACATACAATTCTTCTTTTCACTATGTTCAATTATGCAACAATCGTTTGCAAATGGCACTTTGTATCCATTATCACATAATTGACTAATACTAAGAATGTTATGTCTAAGACCTTCAACTAGCATAACATTTGAGATAGTAATAGTTGAGGGATTACTAATACTACCTTTTTCAAGTATTGCACCTTCATTTAACTTCCAGTCAATTAACCTAGTCCCTTAACCATTAACCAACTACCAAGTAACTGATTAAGTGAACCTTAAAAAGAAACTAACTTCAATAACCAATCTCGAACTGTAATTGTCAACAAAACTAACTGCTAACCACAAAAACTAAGCTACCTCTGCCCTAAACAGACCTACCCTAAACCAATTAACCAACTTGCCCTAAATAGCTGACCCAACCTAACAACCTACCTGAATCTGTTTCAAACTTTCCCTCCAACTTGCTTTCAAACTAACACAAATTAGAATAATTTCACTCAATTTCCAACGGGATAAAACACAAACTCTAACAAACTATCTCATTCAATCTCAACCCTTCTTTAATCTCTCATGAGGATCACTATCCTAGGGCTTCAATTTAATCAATCCTAACCGAATTAACCAACTCTTCCCTCCAAACTGCCTTCACCCTCACCTATAAAAACCTCACATTTCACTCTGAATCCATCGGCAATCTTTCACAAACTTACTCTGCCCAATTTCCACACCTTCACTCACTCTCAAAGCTCATCACTGAGCTTGTTCAGAGTTTCACACTCAAACTCTGAAACAAGTGAGCTAAACCCCTCCAATATCTCAACATTCACCATCAACTCGATCTCCCTGCCCACAAGACTCTGCTCAATCTCTCATCCCTGTTTTACCAACAACAATACAGAACAGCAATAGTCTCAGAACAATTTCAAAAAAAAGAGAAAGATTGAAGGGGGAGATACGGATCAGAAAGCAGACATAAGCAAGAAGTAGAATTGAAATTACGTACCTGGACCTTGAAGACCACTCCTCTGGGTTTCTTCATCTCTACGCAAGCTTAAAATTAACACTCACCGGGATAATCCCTTTCCCGCAGGTAGGTCTTGCACTCACCTCCATTTTACTGCATCCTTTCGCGTCTTACTTGTTACCACACTACTCTCCTTGAGGCATTGAATAGAAACCCCAAGACTATTGCTTGAATCCTAACCTGAGCGCCATTTATTTTGGTTTTGGGACTTTAGGGTTTTAGGTTAGGGTTTCCGATTTAAAGATTTTATAGGTTTTTAAGGGAATCAGGGTTGAGATTTGGATAGAGTGAAAAGAGAGGAAGAAGATGGTGGAGTTTTCTTGAGGGTTGAGGCCACACAGCCGCCGGAGGAGAATCCCGGCACGGCAGCGGAGATTTCCGGCCGCCTCTGTTGTTGAGAGGGAAAAGTGGTGGGGCCGGGGTGAAAACTTGAGAATGAGAGAGTCTCAGTCCCCTTTTCCCCCTCCAATCTGCGTATTGGGCTGGGTCTCCTTGGCCCAGTTGCAGCTTTTACTTATCACACCCTCATTTTGGTTTGGGAATCTCTTATCCCACCCTATGTTCTTGAAAAGAATTTTAGAAAAATTTAATTTTGCATTTTGCGTTTCTGAAAGTGTATTTTTGAAATGTACCTTTTTTTTATTTATTAAACTTTAATCTATTATCTATTATCTATTATCTATTATCTATTATAAATATATAAAAATCAAAGTATCATTAACTTACCATAATATCCTAATTAATAAATTTTAATTTAGTCTTAATCTAAGGGTATATTTGTAACTTTCTGAAATACTTGCATCATATCGATTTGACAATAAATATGGCTGATGTGTCACACTATAGTTTTTTCTGCCACTTTTTACTTTTTTTTAATTATTTCTAACTAACAACAATTATGCCATTTTGTTTATATTTACACGTTATAATCACACCTAATTATGTGCTACATACCACTTCCCCAAACCCTCATCCAAACCAAAAGTCATTCAATTTGAAATTTAAATTAAAACACTCATATTATAGCTGCTACTAATCACGTTTTTTGTTGCAAGATTTAAATTGGCAGCACAAGATGAACAACCATCATAAATGTTGAGTTCTTGAAATGGTAAATCTATACAACCAAAGAAATCGTTTTTCCCAAGATGCAACAAATAACTCATTCACCCAACTCTATTAAAACACAAATTAGAAAACCTAATTTCATCTTCTTACCTAATTTCATCTTCTTCCTGCGCCGCTCAATCTCTTTTCATTCTTCTCTCTTTGTTGCTACCAATTTCGTTTCGTTGTAATCTCAACCATCTAATATTCTCATCCTAACCTGTTAATTTATTTGTTTCAGACGTTCAAGCGTAAGAATGGTGGTCGTAACCAAGACCTCTGAATCTCAACAACATCAATAACCAACAACACCCGTTATAGATCTATAAAAGAATTTTCTTCAAATGCAATTTTTAACGTTAATTTGATTCATACATATGTAAGTGACGAAGGTGAGTGATTGAAACATGTGATTGAAAGTTGAAACTGAAATGTAGTTTGGAATATCATATTTTATGTTGTATTCTATTCGTTTTCAGGGTTGTCTTACTATTTCTCCTTTTCCAAAAAAAAAAAACTTAACTTGACACCTAAAATGGGATATCTTTATCTTTAGGTTTGAGAGTTGCAGAAGGGGATTTTTGAGTTTGCATGTGACGAACAACACAACCATGATATTGTTTATTTTTTGCTGTTAGGTATGTTTTTTTTTATTCAGATTTTATTTCTCAATTTTTTTAATTTTTTTAATTAAAATATGAGGTTGAGTTTTGGCTTTTTTTATTTGTTTAGTCTTGGTGAATACAAAGCTCACACATATATATTTACGATTGATTCTCCAAATAGATAGAAGCTTATTTCTTTTGCTTCCTCTTTCAATTTATTATTAATCTATTTAAATTTCAATTTCTCCCATCACATGTTTGATAAAAGAAGGCAGTATATTCTCATCAATTTTGTTGTTTATTTTGCTTACTATTATATTTATTTGTATCTAATTGATATTTTTGTATTTATTTTCTTGATTTAATCGGTTCTTCTTTTGGAATATGTATGAATATGGAGGCTGATAATTGATTTCACACTTGAATCAGTAGGGGACCAATCAACAAATTGAATAACGGATTGTTTCACAGTTTAAGTTTAATTTTTATACATTGATACGTAAAATGAAATTATGCTGATTGCGATTTGATTTTGTCATGTGAAAACAGGTTTAATATAGTCACAATCTGTCTTAACAAGGAATTATCAAACTTTACCTCATGGTCGATTCAAGCATTTGTTTTAGAGGTTGAAGATAGAGAGAGGATTAGTGGTTCGGCTTATGGGGGTCAACAGGACATCTGTTGCACCAATGATCTTCCTAAACTCACTGTGTGCAATGATGGACAGGGTTGTCACCGGCCTTCTCCCATGAATTCAAATTGGCCTGAAGTTTATGGCGTGGCTTTTTATCATGTCCAAGAAATAAACAGTTTATTTTTAGTTTTAATGCTTTATAATATTATTGTTTGCAGAGTTGTCTTAGCATTTTAAGTTACAATATTCACCATGGTCATGGCTGAGTGACCATTTGCTTCTCTAATTTCAGAAACAAAAATATTGCTAAAGAAGAATTGGAGACTGCCACAACAGAACCAGAGACCACTATTTTAAATCTACTTAATCGAGTCGATTTTCACATGTGATTCATCATCAAAGCCAAGTGTTAACTTATATTTTCATTCAAGTTATTTGATAGTTAACCTTATAATAGTAAATATATGTTCAATATGGTGCAGATGATTTGATTTCCCGAGCATTTGATTTCCATCTACAGCCGTAATTGAAGATTAGGAAATTGAAATCATTGAATTTTATGCTTCCACAAGGAATATCAATGGCTTTCATTGGCAGGTATTGATTATATACTAATTGTATTTTCTGACAGATAGCAAATGCAAATGTCTCATTGCAATGTTTGGAGGAACTGTTTTTGGAAGAGGAACGAGATTTTGATGAACATGAGGATAGTCAAAGGGATGAGACTCTTATTCACCCGAAGTTCTAAAGTAATATGTTTTTAAGGGTTCAAGAGTAGCGGGTGTTGCTGAAGTTCACTACCAATTTCAGAAGAACCATAAGCAAGGCAATAATTATCTAAGATGTATGAGATGATAAAACCAACGTTGATATGCGATCATTTTCTGGTTCTATAGAAGAATGTTTTTAACAAGATTTGATTCAAATTATGTATATGTATATTATTATTGCTTTCATATTTTATATGTCATATCAACATTGGTTTTGGCATAATATATTTTTCTACTGTAAATTATGTTGGCTAGCAAACACACTACTGTAAGTTTCGTTCAATTAACATATTTACGATCTTTTTTAAATAGAATTTAATTTTTATTTTGAATAGAAATTATAATTCTCATTTGTCGTGAAATTTGAATAAATTTTTTATTTTGTATTGATATTTTTTTATTTTTAATTGCTATAATTTTATAAACAAATATTACAATTTTTAATAAAATATTTATGATTTATTTTTTTAAAGTACGACTAATTAATATATTTTTATACAATATTAAAAACAAATATTACAATTTTTTAATCAAATATTGGAGTACCATTTAATTTGATACTTTACCAATATATCTTTTGAATGGAGACATTATTATCTTTTATTTTTATTATACTTATATGAAAATTATTTTGAATGGTGACATAAATATATTTAATTTTTATATATGATTTGATTCCATAAAATATTATGATCAATAAAATTTGAATTCTCTTTTAATATTATAGGTTTGATACTGTTTCATATTGTAGGAATATTATATACATTAGAATATATAAAGATATGAAAAAAATTAAATCAAAACTTTACAAATATATCTTTTGAATGGAGGTATTAATATTATTTATTTTTATTATATATAGAAAATATTTTGAATGGTCACATTAATACATTTTATTTTTATGCATGATTTGATTTCAAAAATTTATGATCAATAAATTTTGAATGGAATTATAATTTAACCAATAAAATTTTCTACCGACTTCTAAATATATTTGTGTATATTTTTTGAAAGGTTACATTTATATTCTTGAAAAAAATAACGTAGTTTAAAGGATGTATTGTTAAATATAAATATATTGTTAATAAAATTAACAAAAAAAGTATATTATAAATATATAAAAGATAAAGTAAATAAGAACTCTAATGTTTATCTTAAATATTTAATTTATCATTCTATAAATGTAAGAATAAATATTATTTTGTAATTATTTAGATCCTTATTTGACCTAAAATAAACTATTTCAATTTCTATAAAAAGGTTAATAAAACAAAACAAAATCAATTGACATTTGATAATTTTTTTAAGTTTATGAAATAACTAAAATATATCATAATCTTTTCAAATTAATTTTATAATTGTAATCATGATAAAAAAATATTAAATGGTAATCATGAAAATTTAATGATAAATGATAATCATAAAAATTTATGATAAAATAAAAAATTATTGATACAATCATTTTAATAAATTAAATAATTTATAATTAATTTTATAAAGGTGAATAAATTACAAATAATTTTATAAATGTAATAAATTAAACTATTTATAAAATTATTTATATCAATAATAGTAAATTACATATATTTTAATAATGGACACACGAATTCAACATGCTTATAAACCGGAAAAAAGTTACAATAATTTTATAAACAGGAATAAGTTAATATCATTTTATATAAATTAATGGTATAATATAATGTATTAAATAATTATATGACACTTTATTAAATAAATTTATTTCATGAAATTAATTTTATATAATATTATTAATATTTAATTATTGAAAATTCGCAATAAACTGAAAAATATTTATTACAAATCGAATATAATAAAACATAAGAAATAAATACATAATTTTGAAATGTTATATATGATTCATTGTAATAATAA